CCAGCCTTCCTATGGATCATTTCACTCCATCTTTCTGTTACCACTGTTCTCCATATGGAATACCATCACCATCCACTCTATTTCCAACACAATACCCCAAAGGGAGCCACTTCCATCCCAAGCTCACAGACTGCTATACCCAGAGAAACACTTACCATCTGAAATCATTTCTGGGGCAACTGAAACCTTTCTTGCACCAGAAAGTAAAGTGGTAAGTAAAGAGAGTAAAGGCCCCAATGTACTTAGAAACCTGAACAGCCTGATGCCAGGCTAAATACCAGATGACCATACTAACTGCAAAAGCATTAAGCTGTGTGGCACTTTCCCACTATTGCTACCTGTTTAGGATAATACTCCTTGAACTTGTTTCCTTTTACAGGAGGATGAAAATTGCAGAGCTGTGTTTAGCAATCCTTCTGTAGTTTACACACCAAAAAAAACCAACTGATGGAGCCATCCAGTGAGTCATTGTTTTCCTTCACTCACATTTTAGCAAGCCTCAGAGCAGGATGTTTGAAAGCCACCTCTGCTATGTGAGGAAACAGCTTATCAGGCATATTGATCCTCAAACTCACCTTCTTGAATGTCTAAAATGACTGAGTTCCCATTCATGCCTACAAAGCACTTTTGCTCCTTCCCCAGTGAAAAGCAAGAGGAACACCTGCCTCTGTACTGGCTGGCTCTGCAGCTCAGAGCCACTCACACTGTCACAAGGTGACACCTTAAGGACACTGGCTGTTTGTAATGGTGAGCTGGACTTGGTATTTTGCAAATATTTTCCTTCTCCTCTGCATAATATTTCCTCCCTCCCCTTCCTCAGCCCCTCCCCTCAGAAGCTGCTTGTTTTTCTGGAATACATTAAGTTCCTTTCTCTTTATTTCACTGTTGATTCCTTTGATTCTCCCTTCCAGGGCAGAGCCTACAGAATTTTTGTGTTGATTTTTGTCCGAGGCAAATAGAGTTTTCTTTGATCATCCTTGTTTTGCTAATTTTGGATGCTTTGAGGGGAATTAACATCTGTTTTTAGTACGAAGAGGAAACTCTCCCCTCCTCTCTTTCTGCAGGTTGCTTGATCTGAATAGAGCAGATGGCAAACTATGCCTTTACATGTTACTTCCTTGGAGATAGGAGATATTGAATCCCCATGGAGGGATTTTTAAGAGGAATAAATTAAGTGGTCGCAACACTGAGTTACAAGACTACAGACACACAGTAACATGAAATTCAAAAAAAAAAATGTTTATCCAAGTCTACCTTTAAACATAAGCATAAATTTGAGAGACCTTGGTGAAACTGTAAATAAGTTTATAATTATGCTCATGGAAAAACAGCTTCCCAAATTAAGGCATAAAATGTTTTACTTGAAAGACACAAATCTTTTTGCAGAAGGAGTCCAAGGCCTAACCCAGCTGACTCCCACTAACATTAATGCAATTAAAATGGAAATACTCCTTCTGCATGAGATTTGTTTGCATATGGCTCGTTAGCAATGCTATAACTCTCTGCACTTCACCCTCCAGAGATGTTACTGGTGAACAGATACATAATGTCCCTAGGCTGTGACAGTGCCAGGGAAAACCCACATCCAGAGTCTCTGGTTTAAGTGCATGCTGACTGAGCACAACTCATTATCCAACATTAGTAACTTACATTCCTTTTCTTCCCAAAAAAACGTGACAACTTTACGCCGCTTTTGAGTGCAAATCCTAAAGGATTATTGTAGTTACTTAGCATAACTCTGTTAATGTGCATCATCAATTCTCACTGCCAGAGCAAGTTCAATGCTTCTCAGGCTTGCAGAAAACATTCCTTCCTCATCTTGAGTACGGGTAGAACAGGGAACCTGCAATCATGTAGGTATCACAGTATATAACAGGGAACCTGCAATCATGTAGGTATCACAGTATATTGCAGGGAACCTGCAATCATGTAGGTATCACAGTATATAACAGGGAACCTGCAATCATGTAGGTATCACAGCATATAGGTGGCAATTAAGTACTGGTCCCCTCTACTTGGTACTGGTGAGGAATACTGTGTCTAGTTTTGGGTCCCTAGGTTCAAGAGCATGGAGAAAATGGAGAGTGAAGAGCAGAGGGCTACAAAGGTGGCTGGATGGGTAAAATGTGACATATGAGAAGACGCTAAAGGAGTTTGCCCTGTTTAGTCTCATGAAGAGAAGGTTAAGGCAAGACAAACGTATCTCTACTCTTTCCAGTTCTATCAGAGATTTTAAAAGGGGCAATGGCCCCAAATTTAAGCTACAGCCATTCATTATGGTCAGAAATCTTTTTAGATGGAACAATACTGCAGCAGTAGAAAAAGTTAACTACAGCACCCACATCTTTGTCCTTGAAACCTTCCAATAAAAATCACACTTGAGCAGGTCAAATGTTAGTCCCAGCTGAGAGCAGATTGGATGCAATGATGTTCCTATGCTGTGGCTAGTCTCCAACTGAGTTTAGATTGATCCATTTATACATTTTGTTCATGCTGGTCCCCCAGACGTTGCCCCCCTTATGGATCTGCTGCTTCAAAAACTCAGGAATACTGCTAAAGGTCTGCCGAATGTCATTACTGTGAGGAGCAAATATGATACACCCCATGTATTATGACCTGTATCTCATATATTTTACCTCTCAGCAAAGGTATTTCTAAACGTATGTTCATCTGGAGAGCTTTTTCCCAAATTTGGAAAACAATGGTAGATTAAAGCATCAGAAATACCTTAAATTTAATAATCTGGCACATGTTTACTGATAACGTTAAACTCCTCATTTGTCTCTCCCTCTCGCTACGACACTAGCATCACATGCAGTACTAGACTGAGAGACAAATCATATCTGCACCACAACAGAAGAAGGAGGTTAACAGGGGAGCTAAGTATGACACAGGCTGGGCAGTGTCAGGTCTGCAGGGCATGGTAAGAACCCCCAGCACAGCTCTTCCCACACCTGGCCTGGCACAGAGACAGCTCGGTTGTACCTGGAGGGCGCAGCCACCTGCTGTGTTTGCCCCTGCTGTGATTTACTGAGCTGAGGAACAGAAAAGAAAAGGAAAACAGCAGCTGCCTGTAGTTGCATCAGTGTTGCTTCACCACCTGTAAGTTACAAAGAAAAACCTTGCTGAGCAAACATGGTCACAGATCTGTGGACACCTCTCATTTAAAAAGTGGAATCAGAAATTCGGTAAAGTGTTTCAGTGCAGTTTTTGACCTCTCACTAGAAACACCAGTGTCACTGGTGACATATTTATCTACCATACTATGTGCTATAGCAACATATGCTCATAAACACTCCCTTTTACAGTTCTCAGCTGCTGCACAATTGCTTGTCACTTGTTCATTGTATGGCAGCAGAGCTGTTTGTTAGTGAAGCTCACCATCACTGAAGAACACACATCCTGCACTTCCCTTCAGCTGACTGTGATGTGCAGTTAGTTGCAAAGTACAAAGTCAGCTGCAGCTGATTTTAAGTCCAAACTAGTAGCACTTGAAGCATTAGTTTGGGTTACTCACATGAACTGGTAATATCATTCAAGAGCCTCATCTCAATACACTGTGGAGCAACACATAACCAGCTAAAAGATACAAACATCCTTGAAGTCAAACTGCCCATATTGGCAACAATACTGACGGAGTTCATGTACAAAAAAGATGAGGCAATGAATTTTAATCTGCTTTTATAATATAAATATAAATTTTATATTTATAAATATAAATTTTAATCTGCTTTAATATACCAGTGTCTTAGGCACCAGGGAAGTTAATTATCTTTATTATTTTGTTTAGCATTGTCTTCAGTTCAATCATTGTAATGTAATGAACTCCTGAAATGGAATTTAATTTTATACTATTCAGGCCTTTTTTTTTTTTTTTTTTTTTTTTTTTTTTTTTGAGAAGTGTGTTGTGTAACACATAGGGCAACTTGGCAAGATTCAATGATGAGTTCTACAAATAGGAAGCTTTAATATTTATTTTTAGTAGAGGGCATACAACACCTCTTGAAATACATGTATTACTGTGCTATCAGTTAATTAGAATAAAAATTTCTGCCAAGACCTACAGTAAGCAGCACTGCAGTGCTTTACTTCACTGCAGTGAAGTAAAGAGTGGGAGTATTTTTATTTTTTTTTTAACTTATGAAAGAGGATTCATTACTGTGAGGCTAAACAGGTGGTAGAGCAACTCGGAGCTCTTCTGGGACTGATTGCCACTTTGATGCTTGGCACATCAGAGTTTCCAGCAAGCTCTGATACATCCTATGATTAGAACCTCAGTTTCTTTAGAGATCATATGCTTCATATGGTAGGATAACATAGTTTCATCAAAAAGCAAATAAAACAAGAAAAAAACCCAGCCCATAGCAGAGTAGCTCAGCTTCCTATAAATCCTGGTTGTCTGAGGGAGTGGTGTAGCTCTTCAATTTCAGGTCTGACTACCAACACAGTAGTCAACTACCAACACTGTCCTTACACAGTTCAACTGAAGGTTTTTCATTTCAGTCACATAAAGACTCTCAGTATTTCCAAATTGCCCAGCGGACTTTTCAGCGCAACAAATCTTCAGCTGAGAAATTCTGGTGCAACTAAACAGGACATTGGCACCTCCTAGAATCAAATCCGACCTTCCCAACAACAAACATCAGCAAGCACTATTAGCTTACTACCTTTTCCTTCACACACACTTACCATTAATATTTGGCCAGCTGAAACTTCTGTGGGAAGGGACTTAATCTTTCAATGTGTATATACTACATCACACCACATAAGGCAACTCTTCCTCCTTTAAAGTGAAATGTGCTAAGAACAACACTAGAATACAAATGTAAATCTAAGCTCAACTCCCTTTTTAACATGTCCAGCAAATGCACTAGAAAATGCTCCCCGCTAAGAGCAATACAATTAATTCCCTTGCTTCATCAGAGGGACTGATGAAATGGATATCAAATGCCACTCTGTTGACCTGCCTTGGAATATGCACTGCATAAACAGGTACTCACATTCCATAAAGTAGGGGCCAGGTTCAATTCGCCACACAATTTGTCCTTTTTGCGTGCCAGTCACTCCCCGATTCTTGGAATCCCAGAAATTGGCTGGAGAGTTCTCATCTGAAGGAGGGAAGACAAAAAATAATTTCAGCAAGTAGTATTTAAAATAGAAGTTTTCTTGGCTTTCTGTTTCAAGAGGCCCAGATACAAAAAATTACTTGTATTAAATTAAAAAATTAAAGAAATCGAATTAACTGGCAAAAATAAATAGCTTCTCTTGTATACTCGATAGATCAATTTATGCAGAGTGAGCAGACAGACACACACAGCCAAAGTAAATATATGGCTTCCTGTAAAAGGTGACCTGCCAAGGTACAGTATTAAATTCCAAACTTCCTTAATCCAACAAAGAGGCTATTGGGAGTGTATAGCTGATTGAAACTGCATCACAGAGTTACCACACCATGTTGCACACCAGTCCTGCTCTGTGATGTGAAAATCTAGCATTCATTCCCTAGCTGGGAAATGCAGAATTGTAACTACGGGTATCCCGTTAGAGGCCCAAAGTGCAGGACTGTCAGTAAGCCACAGCTAGAAAGGAGAGATTCAGAAAAATGCATTCAGAGAAAATATTCAAAGCAAATAGTATCTGCAGAGCAGCTTAGCAACATCAGTATTATCCCTTCTCAAATTAAGATTTTTGTCCTAACAAACACAAGTCTTAGGGCCTTTTTATTTTCCAGCCTGTATTCAGATACCCAGAATACCAAATGAATGAAACAAAACCAGGGCAAGAAGCTGGCTGAAAGGGCACAAAGGTTAGTTCTGATGACATGGACAAAGCTGACATAAATCCAACTAAACTCTTTTGTACAGGAAGTTCTTTGGAGGTATGTATTATGACATTTTACCAGTGCATTTCAGCAGCTGTTTCTCAACTAGACAAGAACTACACCTATGATGTCAAATACAACATATTTTCCAGTGATACTGCATATTCTTTAATCTTACTTTTTAAAAAAATTCTTTTATTATATACACTTGAGTGCATTCTACAAATTTAAAGACTTCACTAAGAACCTAGTCTACTGAGGCTTTGTTCATGAAGCTCATATCCATTCAAGCACTTTCCTTTGTACTTTGGTAGGAACTCTCACGTAAGATTACAGAACTGTCGCCTACATTTTAGATATCCATATACTATTTATGAAAGAATAATAAACAATGCAGCTTTCTTACATTTATCTTAAAAATATGAACTCGCACTAAAGCTTCTCTTCCTCCCTTTCATTCTGATGGCTCATCTCAGTGTACAAGCAGTAACCCCACTGAATTAAGATCAGTGCAGTCTGTAAATCTCATCCCACCAAACCAACACACGGAACACTACCACACACTGGGCTTCTGTGTCTGTTCAAGAGAATTTACACACTGCCCAAAACCTAGAAGAGCTCTGGAGAATCAAGAAGGGGTCATGGCAAGCTACTGACATTTTTATGCCTCCAGCCATGGATAACTTTGAGAATTTTCAGAAAGCTGATGTCTCAACACCTCAAAATCATGACAAGTCCGGGAGAATTTCACAATTATCTCAATGACAAGGAGAAGGGACAGGAGGGTTCTCCTGACACTTGTGATCCTCAAGCTTGTAATGCCCTCAGGCTTAAGTGCAGAATCAACATGATAGGACACAAAGTACAGGCACCAGAAAGTCAGGCACACAGGCAGTAAAATCTTAAACTGCATGTATTTATTCTTCATTACAGCAAAAAAAAGCTTTCAGAATAAATGAAGCTGCATCTCACCCATGTTTTGTTGGGGCTTTTTCCGAAGTTGTATAAAGAGGAACACTGAATGTACAACCTCTAAATCACGCCATAGACCTTATAAAAAATCTCTACATGATCATGTTTTGTTGGGGCTTTTTCCGAAGTTGTATAAAGAGGAACACAATGTACAACCTCTAAATCACCCCACAGACCTTATAAAAAATCTCTACATGATTTGCAATGACACTCTAACCAAAAGAATGCATTGTTGATGAATTTATTTACTTTTTTATTGTGCCTTCCTATCCCAAGGCTCCCTATTTTCTTCCAGACAGAACACTGGGAAACCATGAGATATAGCTTAACTTCCATCAACACTACACTAGGGACTGTTCTGGTCCACCATATAAACCTGGTTATCCAAAAGATCACTACCAAAAGTGAGCAGATTCTTTAAAAATTCCAGTTATCTCAAACACAGCGTTTTAAACTATTCAGCACTCTCATTTCATCTAGGTAAATGAAGACACATTCCTACAGTAAACATCTCATCTAACATGCTCTAGTTCTGATTTCTGTATTTAATCAGCTGGAGAAGAGTCTTTTCATGATTCTAAGAAGGACGGATATTTGGTATATTATAACCATGAGTTTTTTTATTCTTATCTTGTTCAACAAATGAACAAAGCCTGAAGCAATGAAATACACCTTTATTGGTGAGATTTCCAACAATAAGGCACAAGCAACTGTTCTTTGTTTTTTAAATCAGTCACAAAGAAAAGTCAATGGCAATTTTTACAGGGATATTAGTAAGCTTCAGAAAAGGTCCTCCATGAAATGAGTCTCAAATTCCCAGCTGGTATGCAGAACGCTTTCTTTCACTTTATTAAAATCCCACATTTACAGAAGTGCCTGGATTTTCAGCCCTTTCATGAAGGAACGGACTCCTTTGCAGCAATGAAGACTAAATCATTGATACTCTGCCCACAGGCATGCTGCCACTGCAACAGAAGGTGGTGGAGACAGAGGGATGGAAAATGCTAACAGACCCTTGCCTGTCAGCAATCGACTCAAATTACAGAATTTATTTTGGTCAGCTTTGACTTTCTTCTGAAACAGATGGGTTTTTTCTACTTTTATGATGCTATTCACATAGGGGAAAAATAACATTACTAATGCATATGGAAAAATGACTTCAAACATCAGTTCATGGATTTTAAAAAGAAAAACTGAAGGAAAAAATGCATGGCATGAAAACATTGAAGTACACAATAATCATAAAAATACTGACCAAAAAAAAGGAAGCATTTAAGAGCACAAAGAGAAACATCAGAATTATCACTCCCCCATCTCTTCTCTTCCCCCAAACATACATGCACACACACACACTCTCTCTCTCCATATATATATATATATATATATATTCCATAGGGAACTTCGATTCTAAGCAGTTCTATTCTCCTTTTAGCACATAATTGTTGCTGTTTGTGAAACTGGCGGCTGTTCCAGAATCTGGGCCAAATAGTAGATATAAATATCCCTTCCCAGAACATAAAATATGTAACAAAATACTGTCTTACTGCATCAGTATCTTGTCCAGTGAGGCTACACTTCTGAAAGAAATAAAACAATGCAAGATGCACAGTTTCTCTTTATCTTCAGTAATTCTTAGACATAAAATACAACAGAACAGAACTTCTCAGAGCTGCAACCCTTGTATAAATCAGAGTATATGAGATAATGTTTTACAACAAAAAGTGGGTAATAAAAAATGTATCACTGTGTGGAATTACACTCTGAGTAATGCTCCTTGAAATCACTGTAAAGCAAAAACATTCTGAGTAACAGTGTTTTCTTTATTTAACTACTAAACAATCAGCCAAACCTGGCATTAAGAAAAGTTGCACTGGCACACTGTTGGCTCTTCCTCAACTTGTCCTCCAGGACCTCCAGGTCTTCTGCAAAGCTGATTTGCAGAGAGTCGGCCCCCAGCCCATCCCAATGTCAGGGGTTACTCCTGTTTGCCCATTTCTCCAGCCTGTCTGCCTGCTGCACAATCGTGTTTTATCATCTGCTACTCCCAGTTTTGCACAAGCATGTTATGGAGTGTTGGAAGCTGTGCTAAGCCAGTGTCTGACACCAGGGGTCAAGAGGTTTCTGAGGAGTTCACATTTTGTTCTTTGTGTCTTACATCTTTCATTATTTCTGTCTTAGGAAAAAAGGATAAACTACCTGAAACCCATCACCTCACAGAGTCATCCTGCACAGACTAAAGCAACAAACAGATAAATAAGATAGTGTCTTATAAGACAGATGAAGAGGAACTGCTAGCAATTAATTATCTGAAACAAGCCTTACAGTCCCAGTGCACAGAGCAGAGAAACCAGCACTCATCTTCTGGTCCCAGTTTCTGTTGTCAGTAGTGCTAGATTTTGTGATAAAAGGGTTGCTTCCATCAACACAAATTATTTTTATTCTTCAATATTATCAAAACATTATAGAAGTCAAAAGTTCCTGGTGTGGAAACATCATTGATTTAAATTTTTTTCCTGTGCAATAAGCAAAAATCGCTATAGCAATCTAAGAAGTTGAAACTTCCGCATTCTGATGTTTTTACTCTAACACATTTATAAAAATGCTCATACCAGAGCAAAGGTGATGTTAATAGATTCTGGTTGTCAACTTTAATTATATACAACTTAACAATTTTCATCTTGCACTACCATATATGGCTAACTAACAGCCCTTGAAAAATCCATGCAGCTCAGCTCAGAAAAGATCAATCACGTTGGTAACCCCATTGTATCCCTGCATAATTCTCTTATCCTCCTTTGGGATTTACATCCCAGTCTCTGACTTTTTATCCCTTTCTGGAAGATGCTTTATGCAAAATCTTTTGAAGTGTTTGTATTGTTCAGTTTTAATTTAAAATTTTCAATTAAGTTCATATTGTCAGAATGCTGACTTCCTTCACATTTTAGACTGATGTCAATACATTTTTGGCACTGAAGATGGTGTGTGCAATGCATTCAGTTATTAAGGGGAGTATTGGTACTAAGCTTTTGAAGCATCATTGATTTCTCTAGGCAGGTGTTCTCTTACAGTGAGGATCAGCAGTGCTGAAGGCTGGAGAATAGCAAGGCTACATCTAGTTTTGTCCAAGGCTGAGATCTGTGAATTTGCCATCAGCTACTCTCATAAACATCCTACCAAGAAGGGTCACTCCCCTACCTATTTTACTCCATCATTTCACTTAGTCTTTAAAAGTAACAGGTTTGTGGTTAATCTGCATTGGAGAATATTTCTGATCTTGTTTTTGAGCCAACCTCAGGAGGTCTCTAGGATGGAATTTCCAATGTGAACCAAAAAACTAATTGACACGCATTTTACTGCATTACTTCCAAATACCTCAATCTCAATGCCAGCAATTGCACTCTTTTCAGTGTGAGCACAGACTTCCAAGCAGTAAAACAGACTCACCAAAATGTAAGACTAACTAGAACATTCCAAAAAATACGTACAGTGGATTTTGGGCAAATGAGTGGGAAAGTCTGCAACACTAACTTCTGTGCAATATTTTCATTTTGGTAACCTCTAATAATTTTAATTCTAGAAATACTAGAAATAAAAATCCATGGATGATCAATAAAGAAGTAGCACCGTGTTTACTGATATAATGAATTAAATATATTACTTTCTTATACCCAGAATATGCTTAAAAGCACTTGGAAACTGTATTAGGACACATCTGAAGAAGAAGATAAATTTTATCACCTGAGGCCTCACTCCTGTTCTAAAAAGTCAATAAGTAAATTAACAGGTTCAAGGGTTTCTACTGCAAGCAATTACTATAACAAATCACATTATGTCAATCAATTTAAAATACACTAGGTATCAGTTAGTACCATATAAACAAATATTAACCCTCTAAGTCAGAGCTTGTTTCTCTGATTTTCAGAATTTGCCATCTCAGCCTGTGAACACAGGTTACCTGGTAGAACAAAAATATTTCTCATTAAAGACAGCACTACTGCTGAAATTAAAGATCAACACTTAGTTGTACCTTCTAGCCTTACCTGGCCATTCCAAAGGATGCCTGTGGATCCTAAACTGCATTCCTCCATCAGAGCCCAATTAACAAACTGAAGAATAAAAGCCAGTAATGTTCTAGAGGACGGATATTGAAAACAGCATCCTCATTCCCAATCACAACCAGTGCTTTCTACAGAAGTTGCCTTCTGGACCCAGCCTGTGCAGCTCAAGTTTGGAGGCTTTAGCTTTGCGTTAGCACTGCTGCATAATCTCAACTCCAGGAGGCATGTCTGTCCTCTCCCTTCCTCCTGTCATTTGAAGGAAAGGCTTTTAGAAGGATGTCCTCCAACTCCGCGGCAGTTCCGAGCAGTTACACGCCGTCATCTGCCTTTTCTCCTTTATTCAAGGTTCCTCTGGGTTCAAGCAGCCCGTGCTAAAACACATAAGGTATTACGTCCTTCAGGCTCTGCTATTTGCAGCCACTCCCCTCCGAAGGGTACAGGATGCCGAAGCCCCATCCTCCCTCCACTTCCTTCCTTGCCTTGTCCATGGGAGGATTCCTCAGCATGGCCACGGCCCCGCAGCACGGGCAGGCTGATGTAAACAGGAGGATCCTGAAATCCTAGAAATGACGGCAAGGCAGCCACAGCAACGAGCACAGCGGGAGCTCGCTGGAAGTGCAGGCTTTTGTTTACACAGTATTTCGCCCTCCCGCATGACTTCCCCACAAATCCAGTTATTTCAGGGAAGAGGGGACTGCTCCATGACGTCTGACTGGCATGGAGCTGCCTTAAATCCAGGATAACTCTGCACAGGGCACTCCTGGGCAGGACAACAAGCAGGTGGCAGAGAGCTTCCATTAATACCTCTCCTCTTTCAGGGCGTTAAATGCCACCTCAGGGCAGGAGCTTGGACAAGCCTCTATTCCTCCAGATGCTCCAGCTCCTCAATGGCCTCCTGGTGGAACACCTGCAGCTGACCAAAAACTCCTTCAGCCTGTGGCAAGGACCCAAACCGTGCCAAAGCAGTCCCAGCACCTCAAGAACAAAGAGGATTCCTAAAGGAACCTGCAATCTGGTCTGTAGCCTAAGATCAAAATTTTCACAGCACACATTTCATGAAATTGCACACTTGTGGAGCTGTAGGTCCAGACTCTCAAAGCATATCTTGGTTTTCCTAGTAATACTCAGATTTTAAAAAAAAAAAAAAAAAAAAAAACCAGTAAAAAACCCCCTTCCACCTCTTACAGGAGTATCTATTTTACTCAATTGAAGATTTCTCAAAAACACTTCCAGTCAAAGAAATTAAGATGGATTCTTTGCTAATGAAGGGATGAAAGCTAACATATTGCTTTGTGTTTGCATAAGCACCTCTAGGAATTGTATCTTCAAAGGACAGAAGGTGAAAGAACATCAGAACTGGAACACTGTAAGAGAAATCTAACACACTGAAGAGTAAATGGCTGGAAACATTCCTCCCTCTCTCCCAGCAGAGCAACCCCAAAAAAGCTGAGAACAAAATTCTTGGACAGTCTTTAAAGCTCCCTAAGCAGCTACAAGATCCGACTATTACAGTTCTCTTCACTCTTCGGGACACTTTGAAAAAAACTTGGAAAGTAACAGAAATACAAGACACAAGTGCCCAACTGAGAAAAGCAAGAGCAGAAAAGAGGCAGAAAAAGGTACAAGAGATGCTCTTACAGGCTCACACAGGAGAGAAGGTGCTGTTGCAGCTCTTCCTGAAGGTAATCGTGCACTGCCAGAGGGTGCTGGACAACACTCTGAATTCCAGCCTGGACACAGATTTCAGCCTTCTGGTCCACAGTCCTCCTACATTAGCAGTGAAGAATCATCATCATTTATAATCATGACCCATGGTCAGAAAAAAAGAGGTGTTTGCTCCTCACAGCACAGCAGCAGTTTTTCCTATTGCACAACCAAATTTAAGGTTCATGTACCTCCACTGATTGCCCCTGAGCTATGGGCAAGAAGCAGAAAGACTCCACTTGCATTCCCTTGTGTGCCCCCTGTGACTCACTGTGTACATGAATATGTTGCTGACTTATTGCACTCTATTGCTTTATGCAGCAAGAGCCATTATTAATTTTTCTAGTTGTGACTGACAGGATGGCCAGGAATAACATCAACTTCTCTAACACTTCATTCCTACTTCAGCTGCACAAGCAGAGCACAGACACCATACCACACACCCCATTCAAACACTGAACTATGAAACCTTTTTGATATTGAAACTTAATAAAGTGGGAAAATCCTTGCTCTCATTTTCATACAGAGCTCATATTCTGACACTGGCTATTTCCTTCTTTTCCAAGAATTATACCACTATATTTTGATTCCTTCTTTATGTACACTAACACTTCAGCATGGGGATCAGAGCATCTCCATGTGCCCTCACACAATGTGATATTTCAGGGCACAGCAGCAGCTCAAAGGATTAGTTAACTAGAATGCAAGACACAAAGATATTGGAAAAAAAATACAAGTCATTTTTTCAGGCATATGACAGTACAATGGCAGGAATAAAGTGGAATTCCACTTCTCTGTATTCAAAGTAAAGGCATCATTGAAATTCAAAGCATTCAAAGATAAAAATAAGCCCTTTCACCCATCTTACTGGCAGAAATTCAAAAGCATAACAAGAGGAAGGAAATGACCTCAAGCTTAACATCTTTCCTGAAAATCTTACTAATCCTCCTTCATAAATGATGTGCACTTCATTCCCACCTCCAGTCCAGGTTTCACACATGTGCCAGCCCCACGGCACAAGTGCCCTGAGCATCATGAGCCACCTGCCAGCTGACCCAGCCCACCTGGAAACCACAGCCTGCACAGCACAGGGACACAATGCTTGGCTGTTCCTGCACTGCACTACTAAAGATTGGCTACAACAAGAAAGGCATAAATGTTAGAGCAAAAATTAAGCTAAAGAATGACACTGAAAAAACTCTGACAGATGGTACTGCACACCCTTAGACACAAGAGGCTGAATGATATTGCATAAGACTCCCAACATCTTTGCAAAATGCTAATAAATCACCTACCATTTAATTCTTGAGGTCCAGCTAGCTGTATGTGGGGGGAAATATGGCACATGGGGTGTTTCAACCTCTTCCTGAAAGAAGCAGCACACAGCTGAGGCAAAAGCTGCACCACCTCTCCTGTCAACTCACAATCATCTCAGCTGCTGATGGGTATGGGGAAGTGATGTGTGCAGAAGATGGAGACTGCCAAAAACAGTGACCACCAGGTAGGGAACAGCTTGGAAATTCAGATTTAGGCCACCACTGGCTACCAAAGTTGGACTATACCAATATTCTAAAGCACTACAATAACTAAGCAGGCTAGTTCATTATAAAGATGAGAGGATATGAGGACAGCAAAGATACAAGCAATACAACTAGGGAAAAGAGAAGCCTGTCTCTCCTGTAGCATCACTTCCTTTTTTTTTTTTTTTTTAAGCACTTCACTGCATCTCACATCTTGCTAAAACTCAAACTCATCTTCACAACCATAATTCCTTCTCAATATGCTCCTCACTGTTATATCCTGTCTCTAAACACATCCTGACACTCCCACAATCCTGTATCCTAAAGGTGTTTTTCTTGCTTTTAACAGTAGCAAGTCCAAGGGCAAAAAAACCCAAAACCAATCTCCACAACAACAAACCCTGAGTGCACCAATATCCTAAAATCCTGTTATTTTGGGACAAGACTGTTTAGAATATCTAGGAAAACAAGCCATTTTTTCCTAATTAACACAAAAAAAGTTATTGTGGGGTTAAATGCTGTCAGAGCTAAACTAAAAAAGAAATGAAAAAAAAAACTGTATCTAACCTTTTCTGTGCCATATTAAATCTGCCAGTCTAAGTTTATTGTGGAATGTTTTTCATCATTTTCCTCCTCAGCCACAGCCTTATATGGTGTCAGATAAGCACTTGTTTTCTGGCAGCACACAAGCTGCTGAGCTTGCTTTAGCTGCACGCAAAAGGGGATTGCAGCTTCCAAAGATAAAGGGCATGCACTTTTATCTGTGACCACATTCCCATCACAAATCTTTGCCAGAAAAACCCAAACATATAACAAAGTATTCCTGCTGTGGAAGATGTGATATCAGCAAAGCCATGCTCTTGTCTACATAGCCTATCCTGCCCCCAGGAAATTCTGCTGGTAAATAAACATTACCAATAAAAGCACAATTTTGCCACTAGCACAGCTGCACTTACAGAGAGGCTTTCTGTGCTGTGGCTGTCTTCATACACATCACATGTAATCCTACAGGCAGCAGAAAAAGTGAGGGGCCATTTATTCTGTGGCCTTCATGCTGGTTTATTTATTAACCAGCAAACATCTGGTCCTGTATGCAGACACCCAGTGCAGAAAGGTCCCAGACAAACTAGCAGTTTTGCTTGGTGTGCCTTTTTTTCTGGTCAAACACTTCTCAAGTGGAAACAGTGGAAACCACTTCAGGAAAGGTCATATGTTTATGGTCATCCCTTTCCCTCCTTCTCAGCCTCAAAACGTACTTGGAGCAATTCCTGCTCTGCAATCAGAACATTATTCCCATTCAGTCTGCTGCTGCTCTTTGGCAATAGTCACATTTTCATCTTTTCAGAGTGGGAATATTCAGGAGAGGAGAAATTTGGACAACACTGACTGGCCTTAATACACAGCACACTGTACTGAATGATGTAATGATCTCTTCTGGGTTTAATTTTGGTAAAATATGGGCTCATTTGACAGCCATTACTAGCTCATAAACTAACCTTAAGTGCACTTCATTTCACATGTAGATCTTCTGTAAATTACTTATACCTCACAATGAGGCTTTTCTTGTGGAACTGTCAGCAAACACAACTGCCATAAATGAGAGGATTTTAAAAATAGAGTTGATGACTGTGTTCTATTTTTACTTTTTTGTTGTTGTTTGCAAATCTAAAAACTAAACACCATTTTGAATTATTATGCAATGTACATCTGCCCTTTAAAACACCATACATATCACTGTGATGCACATGTAGGAAAAGCACAACAGGCTAGAAGAGATTTCAAAAACATATGCATGTTATTTTAAATCTGGATTTTGAAACTATTGCCAGGTGTCATTTGTTCTGTTTATGTTAATGAAATTTTAAAATCAGATAGGAAACATGTACTTGGCAGCTGTCTATTACTGAAACATTCAGCTTGAGTACTCACCTTTATTTCCAGGCAGCATTTTGCAATATGCCTCACGTCGGCTACCCATGAAACAGAGTAAAATTCATTACAAGCATATTTGTTGTTATTGATCTGTAGATTTGCACAGAACATTGTCTAGTTTCCTGCTTTCCTTTTCTGCTCATCCTTCTGCTCCCTTTTCCT